AAAGTACTGTTGTGGTTTAACCCCAACCAGTAACCAAGCCCCACACAGCCATTTGCTCATTCCCCTGCCAGTGGGATTGTGGAGAGAATTGGAAGGGTAAAAGCTAGAAAACTTGTGAGTTGAGATAGACAGTTTACTAAGGAAAGCAAAAGCTGTGTGCACAAGCCAAGCAACACAAGGAATTAATTCACTACTTTCCATGGGCAGGCAGGTGTTCAGCTATTTTACAGCTGTGAAATGACACATAACAATTACTTGTGAATATAAATGCCATCACTCCAAATGTCTCCCCCTTTTCTCCTTCTTCCCCTGTCTTTATATACTGAGCATGATGTCATAGGGTATGGAACATCCATTTTGTCAGTTGTGGTTAGATGTCCTAGCTGTGTCTCCTCACAATTTCTTGTGCATCCCCATCCTCCTCACTGGCAGGGCGGTACAAGAAGCAGAAAAGGCCTTGACACTGTGCAAACCCTTCTCAACAGTAATAATAAAAACCCCTTCTATGTTATCAACAGTCTTTCCAGCACACAACCTTATACTAGGTACTGTGAAGAAAGCTAACAACCCCAGCCAAAACCTGCACATCAGTAAGCTTGTTATTTTTTTCCCTAAAGAACCTAAGATCTGAACAACAGTACTCATGAAGCCTAGTGAAAGCTGTATGGTCAAATCCTCTAGCTGGCTCTAAAATAATCTGGCTGTTTCTGTCCAATATAAATGATGTTTCAGTGGTTCTGTGGCCTTAATGACATACTACAGGGTTTTGTGACACCATGTGCTCTGAAACAAGTGACACTGCTGCTCTCCTGTTCTCTCATCTCTTTTCAGACTTAGGTAAATGCATTATTGATTGTGAACTACAGTATTCTGACAACTAGTGTATTTTTCAGCACAGGAGAACAGCTGTTTATTGATTACTAGAACAAATTTAATACAGTAAACTTTGGCAGAAACAGCAGCATGCTGAGCAACTCCTCACTGTTACAGATCACAGGTTTGAGGGGTGACTATCCTCGTATGTAGCTCAGAGGTGAAAACTTAAAGTATGACACATCTCTAGTGGTTAATATGAAAGATCACTTACAACTAGATGACCACATTTTCACGCTTGACTATTCAAATCTCTATGGTGGATTAGAACCTATTAAAGACTAAGACCAAAGGTATATTCTCAAGAATGCTGTAAGGAAAGATACAAACTGATAAACAAAAAATAGTTTTATTAGGAGAAGTAATAGAGATCTTAATTTGAAACTGTTTCTATTTTGGAAGTAGCAAACCAAGAAATAGGTATGCCAACAGAACTAGACTTCAGAATGTACTTGTTTCATATTTCCACAATATGATCCCAGTGGCTGGAAAAGGACAGCTGAGTTGCAAGGAATTGAATCACAGAATCATTTAGGTTGGAAAAGACCTTTAAGATCATTGAGTCCAACCTTTGACCTATCACCACCTTGTCAACTAGACCAGAGCACTGAGTGCCATGTCCAGTTCTTCCTTGGACATGGTTTGTAAATGTAACAAAAATTTGAAATTGTAATTGAAGTAAATGTAACAAAAGTCCTCAGAATGTGAAAATGATAGAAGGAAGTCACAGTCATCTCTGTGACTGGGAGCAGAAGGGTCATGTCTCCCTTCAAGGTTACACAAGAAAAAGCCTGTCCTTTTTAGAAAGCCTCAGAACAATTATATGTCCCAGTGTATTTCACAGTGGTTTTTATATAGAATTTTTTTTCTTACAAGACTAGAAATTGTAACTTTGGATTTGGAGTTTCCACTGGAGTTTATGCTTTACTAGTGAATTTGATCTAGGGTTCTTTGGATAGAAATAAACTTGTGATTTCTCTGAGACAGCATTGATTCTATTCTGGGTGGTCCCCTCTCCTGAGTGTGTTTATGGTGGGTTTTTGTTTTTTTTTTTTGTCTTGGTTGTTTGGTTTTTTTTGGGGTTTTTTTTTTTTTTTTTGAAGATCACTATTTTGCTTTTTGCAGCATTGGCAGAGGGGAGAAATGATTAGTGAAGTCAGCAGGTTGGAATTAAACAAAGCTGATCAGAGACCTGATTAGTATGATGCTTTTAAATAAATCTGGTTGCTGGAGAATGGGGCGCTCCTGGTAGACCATTCAGAATATATATTGCTGCAGTAGCATGATGTATGCAGGCACACCAGCTGCAGACAGGGCTCCCGGCCTATAAAGTCCCTAAAATAGGCACAGTGTACAAGTACATACTGAAAGCAATGTATGTTTGCTTCTTGAAAGGCACCAAAATGCAAGTTTGAGATGTAAGGGGGCATGACTGCTGAATGACCAGTCCTAGCTTTGTCCCCCAAAATTCCTTTAGCTGTTTCCCTCCTCCACTGGAAATCGCTGACCTCAAACACAGGTTGTTAAGCTCAAATACATTGAGAAAGAGGAGTTGGTCCTGGAGTCTTGAATGTCTAGTCTAAGAAGCAGTCTTGATTTTCCTGGCTACAGCATTCATAACAAAGCATCATCCTTCAGTTTGATAACCAGCTGATTTCAGGGATACTCTAGAACCCCACTTCAGTGTATCCCATATTCTAGTGCTTTTTGCGTTGCAAAAGTGTCTGGAGGAAGGGGGTGTGTGAAGAGCTTTGAACCCCTCTACCACCATGAGGAGAGGTTCTTGCACAAACCAGTCCATCAGACCAAACATGATTTCTCAGGCTTTGTGTCCTAGAAGATAAATTATTACCCTGGAGATGAAAATGGGTAGAAATGCAGAACAAGGCTTTCCCCCCCCCCTTTTCTTCCCTCCTTCCCTCCCCCAATAGATGGAATTTGCCAAAATCCTAACATATAGTCTCAAAATTGTTTTTCTATGAATAGGGTGTTTTTTTGTTGTGGTGGTTTTTTGGTTTGTTTCGAGTTTTTGTTTGTTTGTTTGCTTGCTTTTTTCAATTTGGGCCCAAAGAAGGCTTTTCTGAAAGATGTAGACAAGCTTTCAAGCAATCTATGTTGGCTGAAAAAGATATTAAGGAAAGGCAATAAACATAGGCCCTTGGTCCAAAGTAATTTCTTGCAGTCTTTTAAAATTTGATTTAAAATACAGGAAGACTTTGAAATGGATTCATTGAAAAGGGCAGAGTTCTGATTTTGCACTGCTGTTATCTTGGGTAAAGTAATATAAAGTGACGGGTTGGTTCTGCCCTCTGGCAGCCTGGTTCTGCAGAAATGGAGCAGGTGTATAGCAAAGAACATTATCCAGCCTTGTTGGTGTACTGAGAATGGGACCAAGTTTTGGGCACTGGTAGAAAAATTGCATGCTCTTTTTAGCCAGTGTGCCATTTTGCTCATATATGGTGGTGGTGTGGATAAGTGATTTAGGTCACTTAAAGAATCACCATCAAAAGTATTAGCAAAAGTGGTTTTAATATGAATTTATAAAAGTGCGATTTAACAAAGTTTGATGGCAAGGTTCACTCTATTTTTTACTACATGGATGAAACATACAAAAGAAAATCAAGTTAGAATTGATTTAGAATCATTTACACAGAGACCAAAGATGCAAAAGGGTAAGAGAGACCTTCCTGTTGAGTCACAAGGTTCATAGTGGACTCTCCTGGTTTCAAAACTCCTGACAGAGCTTAGGTGCAACTAGGTCCAATTTTAGTATCAGGCTTGGACAATGGTTTATGTCTAATGGAATTAGCTAGATGTATTTCATTAGTATTAATTCAGCATGCTATCAGTCACTTACCAAGGATCTGTTGTGAAATAAAGGGTATCTCCACCTCAGGTAAAGAATATCAAAAACTGAGAGACATCCCAGCTCAAGGGGAGAGTCACTGGTGTGCAGTTCGGTCGCAATTTAGAGAGAACTCAAATTTGACTCGTCCAAAGATCTGTTGTTGATAAAAGTGTCTTTGCCTCCAGAAGCAACCTTGAGAGGCGTCCCAGCTCAAGGGGAGAGTCACTGGTGTGCAGTTCGGTTGCAATTTAGAGAGAACTCAAATTTGACTCGTCCAAAGATCTGTTGTTGATAAAAGTGTCTTTGCCTCCAGAAGCAACCTTAAGAGGCATCCCAGCTCAAGGGGAGAGACACTGGTGTGCAGTTCGGTCGCAATTTAGAGAGAACTCAAATTTGACTCGTCCAAAGATCTGTTGTTGATAAAAGGGTCTTTGCCTCCAGAAGCAACCGTGAGAGGCGTCCCAGCTCAAGAGGAGACAACTGCCTTGCAGCCATGCTGCCTAGCAGGGAGACCTCAAAGGTGGCTCACTTAGACTGTCATATTTATGGGATAAAGTGCTTGGCTTGTTGTCAAATTGCATATGATGGGAAAAGTATGCATGAGACTTCTTAAACCCACAACTTTCTTTGGTCCTTGATAAATGCATCTTGGAAAAATCACACACAATTCATGTGTTAATTGCACAATCATGTTCCAAGCTCATATGTATCGATGGTCTCTGCTCCTTTGTGTTTCATAGAATTACAGCTCAGACCTTTACCTCCTTTGGAGCCTGTATCAAACTACTGCAGGTTTAGTTAAGGGGGTTGAGTGCATCCATCACAGGTGTATAAAATGAAGTGCTTTGAGAGTAGAAAAGAGATATGTGTTTCTCTTACTCCTCATGGTCAAAAAAAAGTCTCTAGGCAATGATTTTAAAATTATCACTATCATTCAGCCAGCATGTTACACTGAGCTTTGTGAACACATAGAAGTCACAGTGACAGAATAAAAAAGCTTACAATTATTATGAGACGGGATGCATCCTTCTTGGCATATAATCTGTTTTTATAGAGTGCTGAAAGAAGAAATTATCCTTATGATGTCTATTCTATAACTTCACATAACTGTGTAATGTCTGCATCTCACATGTGGAAACCTGATCAGACCACAAGTCTCCCTAGTATAGTAGACTTATTCCCAGATCTCTCCCATAAAACCTTTCCTCCCCAGTTGTAGCAAATTCTGTTCACTGGTGCATAATGTTTATAGTCATCTTATTTGTGTGTTGTCCAACAGGTGCACCCAGACTACAAGGAAACAAAAATACTTACAGTAAGTTCCCAAATACCTGTGTGCTTGCATTGGATCATGTTTCTGAAAATCTCTAGAAGTAGTGTTCCTTTGAGTACAGAAAATCATAAGTGATGAGTAAACTGGGGGTAAAGAAAGCAATCTGCATGCTTCTGCTGAGGTACAGGGTTTGACTATATCATATGGTTGGGCACTGAAAGGTTTTCATCCACTGGTGGGAGAGGATATATTGGAAAGAATCTGAGTTGTTGGTTGCTGTTTTGAGGGTTAAAAAAGTATGGTAGGAATCAGACTGTGCACTGCTTGGTTTCATCTGAACAGTGAGTAACTTCCCAAGGGCAGTCTAGAAAGCCTATTGGATTAATTATATGGGGTATCCTGGTTCTGCACTAGCCAGAAACAGGATGAGGGGATGCAGATGACCATCACCTCAGCCTCTGGATTTTCCCCTTTAGGTAACACACAAAAATTTCCCAGTGTCTAAAGTGCCCAGTAATATCAGCTGCACAAAGCAGTCAGGTGACCCCGCTCCTGAACTACAGCAGGCCCTCTCTGCTAGTGAGAGGCAGTGCATAGAGACAGTTGTCAACATGGGATATGCGCCTGAAGACGTCCTGAAAGCCATGAAGAAGAAGGGGCAGAACATAGACCAGGTAAGAGCTTGTGCAGTGGGGAAGAAACCCTTGACTGGATGCTGATTCTGCTGAAAAACAAACCTAAGTTTGCAAAATGTATAGGGGGAATATATTTATTCTAACAAAGGGTTGCAGACTGTAACTGCTGTGGTGTTAACCACTAGAGAAGTTGTCAGCTGGTAATAAAGGCTCCCAAAACCAAAGAAAAGAGTGTCCAAACTTGTTTCTGATGAGAAACTGAGTCAACCACACCTGTGGGTGCTGGGTAAGAGCTGCATTGAGCTTGGGATGGGCCCTTAGCTCCATGTCAAGCTTGGAGAGGTACTGGGCCTTCCCAGAAGCCACAAAACCATCTAAAGGAAGCTTAGCATGGCTCTATGCCATGCTTAGTGCCATGTGACAAAAATCCAGCCAACTTCCCTTGTTCTGAGCATGGGTTGCAATGCTGATGTCTCTACTTGTAGAGGGGGATTTTGCCCCTGAAGGCTTACAAGATCCCGGAAAGCCTCTTGCAAGGCATGACTGACCAACTTTCTTTTGTGTGCTGTGTTACTTCCTGCCTCATTGTGTTTCCTCAAACACTTGCTAAAACGAGGTCATTGAACATTAAGCTCTGCAGGGTGAAGTGTGACTCTGTGTCTTGGATCTGCATCAAACATTTTAAAGCAGGAAGAGTGTGGCCAAACTTTCTGTGTGGGAAACCCTTGGTGAACTGTGTGCAGAGCATTGCCTGGCAGGACTGTGTCTGTTGCCTGGGGAGGAGGAGCGTCCCAGTGACTCCTTGCGGAGCTGATCTGCTTGCCCACTACCTACATATTGAGAGTGATTTAAGCTGTGTGCTGGAGTGAACTGTAGTATCAAATAAAAAAATGTCCCTTAGGTTGGTGGTTTTAAATCCTGCTGTATTTGCAAGCTGTGTTCTTTTGTGGACCTAGCATTACCTATCAGACATTTCCCCCACCTCTCAAAATTGAGGACAGATAAGAAATTTGGCAGTGGTTTCTGTGCATGTGAGCTCGGATTTGCAGCTCACTCACTAGTATGCTGAGTTGATCTTTAAAGGCTGAATGCTTTCAGATTGCATTAGCTCTTGTGACTGGCTGAGAGGAAGCTAAAAGCTGAGACATCTTGACTGTTGAATCTACAGTTTCATCTTAAAAACTTGTAGTATAAAAAGCACAGTTAAACTTCTAAAAATTGGCTTGTGAGACTGTTTTGACTAGAGCAGATGATGTTCAGAGCTGGTGGGAGAACACAGGAGGACAAAAGGGTTCATCTGCTTTCTCTGAACAAGTTCTTGCATAAAGACTGTCTCAGATCTACTAGGAAGATTTTTATCTGAGTCCCTGGTGAAGCCTGGGGTAAAGTCATGCTGAGCCCCTCTGCATGTACAAAGACGGTATTCAGCCATGTGCTGCAGATGCTGCTCTGCAAGCTTAGTTTCTTTTCTTCATTCCCCACAGGTTTTGGACTACCTGTTTGTACATGGACAGCTTTGTGAGAAGGGCTTTGATCCACTTCTTGTTGAAGCAGCTTTGGAAATGTACCAGTGTTCAGAGGAGAAGGTGAGGACACAATGTGTACAGGAATAGAGACAATGTGCAGTTCCTCTGGCTGATGTAATTCTGACGTTTGTGGCAATGCCACCTTGTTTCCAAAACTGACTGCTGAAGGGCATTCCTGTTGTGATAAAGTGACTATGTGTTAAAGCATTAGAATTATACCATGTTCCTTTATCATTCTCACTTGCATGCATTTTTATGGAGACAGGATTTTTTCAAGACCCTGCTTATTCTGGTTGCAATGTTTTGAACCCAGAGTTCTCTTGTGGGTGAGGTGCTTGGTACAGAAACAGTTCATTTCAGAAGCAGCAAATTATCTTTCAAAACCTGCCAGCCTCCCCTGGCTGTGAAATTTTTTAACTGTTTGGCTGTTTTGCAAACACCAAAGGTACACAGACAGGAGCAAGTAGCCAGCTCAGAAGACAGCAGGATCTTTTAAAGTTTGGCTGTCTGTTGTGTGCCCAGTTATTTTATGAAATCTTTAGAGGTGCAACCCAACCCCCCAGAGATAGAAAATAGAAGGGTTTGTGTTGGAAGGGACCATAAAGATCATCTAGTTCAAACCACTCCCCCTTCCCCCATAGGCAGGGACATCTAGAAGGTGCTCAAAGCCCCAAATTTTCTTGGCAACCTGTTCCAGTGTCTGACCACCTTCACAGTAAAACATTTCTTCCTAATATCTAACACAAACCTACCCTCTTTCAGCTGAAAGCCATCCCCCCTTGTCCTATCACTCCATGCCCTTGTAAATAATAATTTTCCAGCTCTCTTGTAGCCCCTTTAGGTATTTGAAGGCTGCTACAAAGTCTCCCCAGAGCCTTGTCTTTTCAAGGCTGAGCAATCCCAACTCTCTCAGCCTGTCTTCATAGGAGAGATGCTCCACCCCTCTGATTATTTTCATGGCCTCCTCTGGACTCGTTCCAACAGGTCCACATCTTTCTTGTGCTTGGGACCCTAGATCTGGATGCAGTACTCCGGATGGAGTCTCACCAGAGCAGAGCGGGAGAATCACCTCCTTTGACCTGCTGCTCACGCTGCTTTTGATGCAACCCAGGATACACTTGGCTTTCTGGGGTGCAAGTGCACATTGCTGGGTTATGTCCAGCCTCTCATATACTAGCACCCCCAAGTCCTTCTCAGCAGAGCTGCTCTCAATATATTTATTCCCCAGCCTGGATTGATCCCAGTGTTTGCCCTGACCTAGGTTCAGGACCTTGCACTTGGACTTGTTGAACTTCATGAAGTTTGTACAGTCCCACCTGTCAAGGTCCCTCTGGATGGCATCCCTTCCCTCTAGTGTGTCAACTGCACCACATAGCTTGGTCTCATCTACTGAGGGTGCGCTCAATCCCTGTCCATGCCACCAACAAAGATGTTAAACATCACTGGTCCCAATACCAACCCCTGAAGAACACCACTCATCATTGGTCTCCACTTGGACATTGAGCCCCTGACTGCAACTCTTTGAGTGCGACCGTCCAGCCAGTTCCTTATGCACCGTGTAGTGCATCCTTTAAATCCATGTCTCTCCAGTTTAGAGACAAGGATGTCATGTGGGACAGTGTCAAATGCTTTGCACAAGTACAGGTAGATGATGTCAGCCGCTACTGACATCATATATATGCCTTCTTGCCTTTCTTGGACTTTGTGATGAGCTTGCAAACAAAGGAACAACAGTGTGAAGATGGGAGCAGTGACGTAGTTCAGTAAATGAATTTGATACTGGCTTAAGCCCAAAACTGGAAATGGCTAATCTCCTGATCGTCCATCTCAACCAATTTGATTTTGGTTTGATTTTGTCATCATTTGGCATCCCTTCCCCCAAAGTGGAGCAGAGGTCCTGTAAATCGCAGAGGATTCATAAAAGTCTGATCAGTCATTCACTTCTTGTTACTTTATTATTTTTTTTTTTTAATTCAAGGAGGATTTGTGGTTTATGTTGGTAGTATTGTAAACAGTGTGCCCAATAGGATTTGTGCTAATCCCACAAGTTTTTCCTAGATCTGAAGAGCCATTTGATATCAAGGGCTACTGTGCTGTTCGCAAAGTCAATGTGACTTAAAAAAAAATTCAGATGCAACAGTAGTTAGTAGATGTGGGGGAGCAGGGTGACATTAGTCAGAATCTGTTAAGCCAGGCTGATAAATTTCCTACTGGGAGACACCCCCACAGACCAAACTTTGGTGCCCTTTGATGAAGAGGATTTTGGAAATGCAGGCCTGCAAACCCAGGGGACTGAAGGTGAGGCTCCTTGGGCTACTGCACCCAGAGCTCTGCCAACTGTGGTGTGAGCAGACTTTCTCCAACCATTGGAATGGGCTGTACTTGGAGTGTAGAAATCCACCCTATGGGGTGCCCAGTCACTGAAGACTGGCTGTGTGCTAAACTTCCACTGAGCACTGATCTTCTTTTCTCTTGCAAATAATGGACTGTCTGTGTCTTTCAGATGACAGAGCTTCTCCAACTAATGAGTCAATTTAAAGAAATGGGCTTTGAACTAAAAGACATTAATGAGGTCTTATTACTACATAACAATGACCAACAGAAGGCTTTGGAAGATTTGATGGCCCGTGCAGGAGCCAACTGAAAACACAGTCCTGGATTCTCATCATGCAACAGAGCAAGACCAGGGTGACCTAATCTCAGCAAGGAGTTTGGCTTTTTGCATATAAGGGAGAATGTCTGAGCAAGCTCGCCCATGTGCATCACTCCAGCATTTCTCTTTCCACTGAAAGCCAACTTTCTTTCTTAAATTAAAATTTTAAAGTGTCCTTTCCTCAGTTTCCTTTTTTCCAGCTTGGCCACAGAGAATTTAGGCTGTCCAGTCTCTACTGAAATTGTACATAGGTAGAGATGGGGTGGTTTCTCCCACTCACCTTTGCACTGGAGTTGAACAGAACTGGTTGGTTCTGAAATTAGGATGCTTTGGTTCTTTGAAGCTGCTTTCATGGTGTCTGCTTGTACTGAATTACTTGATTGTGTCATAGTCCAGATTAACTGGTTAAATTTGACCTTTAGTGCAATGGAGTTTTATTTTTGGGGGGGAAAATTAGTCTGCAACTTAGTAAAACACTGTTTCAAAAACTTGCTATGCATAAAGAGAGAGCCTATTCCTCTTGGGTTTTTTTACCCATGCATCCAACACTTCTGCCAGACATGAGCGTTCAATGCTGAGTGATCTGTAAATTCCCTTGAAATAGGTAAGTTGTGAATTCTATCTGGACCTGCAACTTATGTTGGTTTTTGAACCTGAAGGCAGAGAGCTGGAGCTCAGTATTCTTAACCCCCCCAGGTTTGTAGGATATTTAAGGCAGTGCTCTGCTAGGAAATCAGTTCTCTTTTTGTTTTAAATAATACTCAGTGTGATGCAGGAGGTTCCTTTCAAGCACTTTCTTTAAAAGAGATATACTCACTGCATTAGCTCCATTTCTCACACCGCTATAGAATTGCACAATAGCATCTAGTACTAGTACTAGAAATCAGCTTTTGGGTTGGTTTTGATAGTTAAAGTTCTAAGTACTTAAAATATCAACAGTCTTGCGGAATCTTTAAAGTAATTCACTAAATATTTTGATTCTGCTGAAGAAAAACTAACAAAATCCTCAATATCACTCCCAGTGTCATGGTTCCCATCTCTCATGCTCTTTGGCTTCAACAAATGAACAACTTGCTGGATCCTGCATGCTCCTGTAGGCACATGTGCACACTGTGTGTTGGGCAGAACAACCTGAGGTGTCCAAGCAGATGGCTGCAGTGGTGCAAGAACCACGCCTAGGGATCCAAACTAGTGTTACAGCATGGAGCTGGGAGCATTGAGAACTTAGGCAGGGAAAAATGACTTGGCTCATTTCCTCAGTTTAAGTTTTTCAGTAGGAGGTTTTAGCTCATCAGGACCCTGAAAGAGATGACATTTGTCTCTATTATGTTGTTAATTTTATATGACCAAAACATGTAATTTGGGTCCAGTGTTAACTCCTGGAGTTATCTGTGAGGTTCTCAACTACATTAATTACCTTTCCTTAAAACAAAATGATGCTGAGAAAATATGTACTGGGTAAGTACCTAGGAGGTGTGGAGATGAACGATGAATAGGACCAGGACAGATTGCCTTGCACGTATCCCATAGTATTGAGCTTCACTAGCGTCTATTAGTGGGACCAAAATTAAAACTTATCTAAGAAGGACATTCAGCAGCTGGTGGATCAGCAGCTGCTGCCTCTGTGGGTTCAGGTAAAGCAGTTGTCCAGCTTTCCTTCCCAGGTGAGAAATGTGACAGTTTGAAATGAAGAAATGGGGTTCCTGATTAATCAGAAAAACTGGAAAACAAAACTTGAACTTCTTTACCGTCACTGCTGAGAGCATTCAGTTGTGTTGCTTGTTTCAATTTTCTCACAATTAATATCCAAACAAATCTGTCTGGTACTAGACAATCTTGAAAGGGCAAGAAGTCTTGCCAGCAAAGAAACAACTATTTAGACCAAACTTCTGAATAAAATCATCTCTTCAGTTGTGTTAATGTGTGTTGTTTTTCTGGTCTCCCCACTACAGTAACCACTCTGTTTATGGAGACTGTTGTAGAGGTGAGAGCAGAGAGGTGAAGATGGAAACTGATACCTGTAAAGCTGGTGGTCTCCTTCCAAAAAGATGTACCCCTCTGTGTCTTCCCTGGTGACACTGCTCTTGCTTTGTCAGTGAGGTTTTTGGATTTACATCTGTATTAGGTTTGCATGGCCAGCTTTTGGTAGAAGAGGGGCTAGGAGCATGGCTTCTGTGAAAAGATGCCAGAATCTTACCTCATGTCCCATAGAGCCAATGACAGCTGGTTCCAAGATGTGCCCATTGCTGTCCAAAGCTGAGTCAATTTGGAATGGTGACAACTTCTATGACAACATATTTGGAAAGGGGAAAAAACTGGAACAACAGCCAAAAAAGAGTTGAGAATATTTGTGCAAACTGCAGACACCAAGGTCAGTAAAGGAGGTCCACTAGGGACTGGAGCAGAGATCCTTCTTCAGCCTGTGGTGAAGATCATGGTGAAGCAGGTTGTCCCCCTGCAGCCACAGTGAAGGAGATATCCACCCTGCAGCCTGTGGAAGACCCCATGCCAGAGCAGGTGCCCCAAGGAGGCTGGAACCCTGTGGAAGCCCATGCTGGAGCTGGCTCCTGGCAGGACCTGTGGCCCCATGGAGAGGAGTTCACACTGGAGCAGTTTTTCTGGCAGGATTTTGACCCTATGGGGGACCCAGGCTGGAGCACCCTGTTCCTGAAGGACTACACCCCGTAGAAAAGACCCCAGGCTGGAGAAGTTTGTGGAGGGCTGTCTCCCATGAGTGGGACCTCATGCTGTAGCAGGGGAAGAGTGAGGAGAAAGGAGCAGTAGAGATGATGTGATGACCCCCCATCCTCCCTGAGCTGATTGGAGGGGAGGAGGTAGAGAATTTGAGAGTGAAGTTGAGCCTGAGAAGAAGGAAAGGGTGTTTTAAGGGTTGTTTTTTATTTCTCACTAGTCTACTGTGATTTGATTGGCAATAAATTAAATAATCTCTTCAAGTCAAGTCTGTTTTGCCTGAGACAGTAATTGCTGAGTGATCTCACAATCCTTATTTATTCCCTTGACATTTTGTTGTATTTTCTCCTGCCCTGTTCCATTGAAGAGGGATAGTGATAGGGCAGCTTGGGGGTGATTAACCTGGTGGCTTAGGGGACAGGCAGTTCTGAAGAAATGTAACAAATGACACAATCTAATGTGACTTGAATGTTGTTTTGGGCACTATTGATTTGCGGAAACAAACTCTACAACTTTGTGAAAGTTGTAAAGCCGATATGTTTATTACAGCACTGGACGCATGTGGGGACTGCTCCCCTCAAAAAACATGCGTACATTTGGGAGCTCCAGACCCCTTCTTATCCCCCTCTCAAATACATATGCATACAATTTCACAATAGGTTCATACATACTCATTGCTCAATCCCTGTCCTATCTGATATGAACCATCAGGTTTCCGAACGGGTAAAATGGGAGTATTGAAGTCAGACTGGCATTCTTTCAATAACCCTAACCGCAGAAATTTTTCAATTATTGGGCTGATTCCTTCCTTGTCTTCTTTTTTCATGGGGTACTGCTTAATTCTCACTGGTTGTTTCCCTTCCTTAAGCTTAATTACTATGGGGGGAGGCATTCTTCGCCCTGCCTGGTACATCAGAGGCCCATACCCTGGGAAATACTTGGCTTAATAGCTCTTCATTAATTTCCTCCTTAATTTCAATGGCTGTTAAGGTATGCAACCACTTGTCAGTCACCTCATCTTCATTCTGGGCATTGGTTTTTCCAGTGACCAGTTCTTTTATAGATCACACACTGGTTTCTACCCAGCTGAGGTAGTCCTTGTCTGAGTGGTCCCTGATTGAGTTTTCTTTGCCTTTCCTCCTGTACCACTGCTACCAGCTTTTTTATTCCTTGTTTATATCCTTCTTCCCGGTTACTAAATACTCTCCATGCCTCTTCTAGCAAGACTTCAAGGTTTCTCCCTTCTGGCCCCCAGATTTTCTGAAGTTTATGCCTAATATCTCCAGCAGACTGTCCCAAAAATGAATTAACTAGCTGATTCATCCCTATCTCAGACCCCAGATCCAATGATGTATGGCAATGCATAGCATCCCTTAAACACTCTAGAAACTCAAACGGAGTCTCAGAAGGCCCCTGCTTAAGGGAATATATGGGAAACCAATTTATGGTTTTTGGGATAGCTCTTTCCACTCCTGTTGCTATCCACTCTTGATAATCTGCTAATTTCTCTACTTCTGCTGATACATTGGAATCCCATTTTGGGTCTTGGAGGGGGAAATATTCTTTTGCATCTAGCTGCTTGCTCTTGCAGTGATCCTCTGCCAAAGTCCCTGCTGTCTTTAAGATCAGCTGTTTTTCTGTTTCAATGAAAGCATCTAGTAGTAACTGGATGTCAGCCCAATCTGGATTGTGTTGCTTGATAACATATTGTAGACGTTTGGCAGTAAGTATCAAATCGATGTGATAATTCCTAGCAATCCTTTCCCATGCCTCTAAATCAAGAGTGGTAAATGGCACTTTAATCAATAATTTCCCTCCTTCTTGTCCCACTGCCTCTCACAGAGGGGCCTGTAGCACTGCTTGCCTCCTAGTTCTGGATGAAATTGGACTGTCAGGAGGGGGATGGGTTCTAGTGGATGTGCCTTCCAAGCCTGAGTCCTTCTTCCTTTTGGGGAAGTCCTCTTCCTCTTCATCCTCATCCTCAACCTCCCTTCTCCTAGGAGGAGCTTTTATCAAATCAAATGTATCTTATTCTTGCCCCTCAGTATGGTAAACTTTGTCTGATCTCATACACTGTTGTCCTATACTGCATGCTGAACAACGTTTGATTTGCCCTCTCTTTGCTTTGTTTTCCTTTTCAAGAGCTAACACCAGTGGGTCAGAGAGAGCTCTGAGCCCACAGTGTCTTTGCCATTCCGGGTGATTTCTTAAAGCAAAAAAACATCAGCATATGAAATCTCATCCCATTTACCTTCCCCTCTTAAAAAGAACATTAACTGCAATAAGGTATTATAATACAAAGTTCCAGCAGGTGGCCACTTCGCTCCATCCTCTAACCTGTATAATGGCCACCAGCGTGTGCAGTATTGAATTAGATCTTTTTTATTCTCAGAGCCCCCCCTGCTGGCGACTTCCTTCCAGTGGGCCAAGATATATCCTAAGGGGCTAGCCCGGGGAACTTCTTTGCTCTGGTTAGTTCCCATTATCTCCTTCTCCTTGTCCTATCTCGTTTCTACCCAAACCTCTCTTCACAGAGCTTCACAGTCGTTTCCCAGTTTTCCTCCCACACACACCCCCAGGTGGCAAGTATCATATGTGATCTTCCACACACAAGCTTTAAGATCTTAGGTTCTGAATCAGCTTGATAGGGAAACTTCAATTTACACTTGGGGCATATGTCCTGACGCCTACTAGAACAGCAATACTAGTGTCTCTCACAAACTCTGCACTGCAATAGTACCCACACAGGGTGCCAGCCTCTCGATGCATCAAAGGCTCCCAGGAATTGCCCGCAGAGGCAGGCTATTCCGTTTATCACTCCAGGGAATTCTAAATCCTCTACGGCAGGTTGTTCCCAGTCCAGACTTACTATAGTACCAGCTGAAGTGCAATAAAGCCCCTCTAAATGAACTCATTCATGTCCTCTAGCTATCCAATAATTCACAGGATTCACAAACTCCCAGGGATCAAGTCCAAACCACTGGGGCAGAGGAACCCCCTGAATTCGACTAGCCACATTTAAAATGTACACAATCTACACAAATCACCACCTTTAAATACAATAAATGTCCTCACCCACATTTCTCCACTTCTTCCACTTCTCTGTCTGGTGCTCCCTGCCCCCACAGCCTGCCCCAGCCAGCGCCTCAGGCCTCACCCAGCCGCTTCAGATGCTGGTAGAACTCCCCTCCCAGCTCCCACGCCATGGGTACACTCACTTGCTCGCTCTCTTTTATACACCACTCATTCGCACAATTACAAACACATGTCCAGACACCACAAACACACACGGGTTCACTTGACTCATCGCAGAGTCTCTAGGGCCACTCTATCGAACAATGAACCTGTCTCCAGCCGGGCTGCCTGCAGGCACAGGAACGAGGCTGTGCACTCATATGTCTCTGAGTGACTTACTGGGCAGCCCTATCGCTCTCTCTCCCCCAGGGCCCTTTGATGTACATACCGTTTATCCACACACCAGCATGTTGTTGTCTGTCTCAGCAGGAGGCAAGACTAGATGAGCAGAGCTCTTCCAGGAAAATCCTGGGGCGAGCCTCAAGAGGTCTGTCCTCCCCTCTGCCCCTGCGAGGACAGAGGTGGTCTCCTGGCTGGGCTTGACAAAATGATTTGTGGAAACAAACAAACTCCACAACTTTTGTGAAAGTTGTAAAGCCAGTATGTTTATTACACCGCTGGATGCATGTGGGGATTGCTCCCCTTAAAAAGACATGAGTACCTCTGGGAACTCCAGATCCTTTTTTATTTCCCTTACTAATCCATGTGCATGCAATTTCACAGTAGGTTCATACATATTCATTTAACTGATTTTGCATTACATTTGCCTCTAGTTTTTTTTTTTAATCAGAAAGAACTCCTGGGTCATCTTGCCCTGTCTCCTGCAGCAGCCTCTCCATCTGTTTCAGAGTTCAAGGGGCCCTCCCTTATCTCTGTCCTTCAGCTGAAGCAGTTTCTTTGAGCATACAGGCAGTCAGAACAAACAGCTATGTTTGCAAGCTACAGACTTAATTCAAAGATGTATATTTCACCTAAATCAAAATGGATTTCTACTCTAGAAAATTTCCACTCTGTCTCAGAAGTTCCACCAAAAGGAAAGCAGCTCCCGTTGCCCATAGCCTAACTGCCAGGTATGATGATGATGATGATGATGACATGTACAATCCCCTTGAAGGAACCTCCAAGACATATGCCCAAGGAAAGAAGGATAACCAGGCTTAGAGGGGCCCTGCCTCTAGCCAGGTAGAGGCTTGGGAAAACCGTGTTTTCTGGACTGTGTGGATTCGTTGGCCTGGCACATGTGAACCACAAGAATATAAAGATTTAGTCGATACTGGTGCGCAGTGCACATTAATCCCATCAAGACATGTGAGGACAGAATGTATCCCATTCATTGGCGTGACAGGGGGATCACAGGATTTTACATTGGTGGAAGCTGATTGTCCTGGGTTGACTATATGATGCTTTTATCCCCAATCGTCTTGTTCTGTTTATACTGAATAATAAGTTTTACACCTTTAAGACTCTCTTCCAGAGTCTGCTTTTGTAGAGAAGCCCCTATGGGGGTTATCTCCCAAACTTGCCCTAAACCAGGACACTGATGTGAGCCTAAATGGAAATGAGTGGAAGAAACACACTATTGTGACTGGCCCAGAGGCCCCATGTATTTTTGGCAGAGATTACCTTCGAAGCGGGTATTTCAAAGACACAGAAGGACTCAGGTGGGCATTTGGGATAGCACCTGTAGTGACAGAGGGTGTCCAGCAATTGAAGACCTTGCCTGGACAGTCTGAGAATCCATCTACAGTAGGACTTCTGAAGGGAGAAGAGCAACAGGCACCAATTGACACTTCCACAGTGCATGGCCAACAGTATAGAACCACTCAAGATGCTGTGATCCCCATCTATAAGATGATCCAAGAGCTGGAGAGCCAAGGGGTGGTCAGCAAAACCCACTCACCCTTCAACAGCCCCATCTGGCCCGTGCATAAATCTTAAGGAGAATGGAGATTGACAGTGGATGACCGTGCATTGAAGGAAGTGACTCCAACATTGAGTGCTGCTGTGCCAGACATA